AGATCGATGTGTACCTTCTCTCCTGGTCGGGTTGGATAGGATGGATGAAGTGGCTCTTTGTATTTCACAAGAGCCCTTTTCTGGCATTCCTCGCATGTCATACAGTACCTCTCGATGTCCTTATACTGTTCTTCCCACCAGTACAGCCGGTGTATCTTTTCGTAGGTTCCTTTAATTCCCCTGTGTCCTCCGACTACCCCGTCGTGAAGCTCCGCAACAATCGTCTGTCTCTCCTCAGGATCACTGACTACTCGTAAGGGCATTCCCGACCCTACTGGCCTTCAGAAAAGGTGGTCCGCTCTAAGGCAGTACTAGGCTGCTTGTCTCCGGATATCTGAATCTTAACTCTCCTCTCCCGCCAGGTGTAGTCCGATCGTTCGGTACTTGCCCTCGTAAAGATTAACTAGAAATCTTTCGGCGCATCTCGGCTCTGCCATTGTCAGGGCTCCAGCTACTATCGGGCGCTCGCCCTCAAGAGGGATCCGAGAGAGCCCATCCGCTACGACATTTTTAGTGCCAGATATCCTCTCCACTGTGTAATCATATAACCGAATCCGTATTAACCATCGTGCAATGGTCGGGTCTGTCAGGCTAAAGTCCTTCTGGAGGACAGAGGTAACCGCTGTGGGATCTACTCTCAAAATGAACCGTCGTCCATAGATATAATGTCTGAACGTGTCTAGACACCACAAAACAGCTAATACTTCCTTCTTGAATTGACTGTAGTTTCGCTCCGCCGTATTAAGTGTCCTACTCTCAAATCTTAATGGTCTTTCCTTCCCTTCAGCGTCCTTCTGCGACAGCAACCCTCCTACCGAACAAGGCCCARCATCCGTGGCTACTATGAAGGGTCTCCCAGCCTCATCATCAAAGTACGGCACGCCCAGTACGCGTCCTCCCTCCTTAAATTCATCTTTAAGCTCTTGCATAGCGAGTTCCTGCGAGGAATCCCAGTAGAATTTCTCAGTTTTTCGAAGGAGAAGTCTCAATGGCTCCGCCTTCTCTGCATACCCTCGTATGAATATTCGTCAGTAACCGACCACTCCCAGAAACTGCCGGACCTCGGTTGGACTATGTAATGGTGACTGCTAGTTCAGGAGTTTGTCTGACTTCGCCGTATCTGCTCGGCGTCCCCTCGAGTCACAGATAAAGCCCAAAATCTTAATAGTCGAGACGGCCCATCGGCTCTTTGTTCCGCTGACTGTCAAATTCGCATCGTCCAGCTGCTCGAGTACCGCGCAAATATCCGTTAGGTGCTGCTCGACGAATCTTCTAACTCCAGGTGCAACCTCTGTCTCATCTTTGTTTACTGACCCTTTTATAGGAAAGTCATCGAGAAAAACTTCAACCTTATAAGGGATGAAGTCCTTGAGGACGGCTAGTATGGCTCTCTGAAGAACAGCTACCCCATTAGTCCAACCCATAGGGACAACCATCATCTGTATCAGTCCCAATGGCGTATGCATAGTCGTGAGGTGCCTGTCTCTAGGGTCAAGCGGTACCTCATCATAACCTGAGAACAGATCACATACCGAATAAATCGATCTACCTGCGGCGCCTTCTGTCAGTAAATCGGCGTGTGGCACGGAGCCCACGTCTTGTATCGTCACCGCGTTGACCTTCTGAAGGTCCTGGATCCATCGGATCTTGCCATTCCGCTTTCATAGGAAGAACCATCGATTAGCATAAGCGCTATCAGACGGCTCCGCAACGTGGGAAACCATCTTTTTTTTCAGGAAAGCGATAACTTATTTCTTCTCCTTCTGGGCGTATTTCCATCCCGCGTCATTCAAGAGAACATGTGGTATCGTGTAAATCCTTGCTGGCTTAGCGTATCGAGGGTCAACCCTACCGCGCTCCGCGTCACTAAAAGGTATGGCCTTATCATATGTCTTCAGGATTTCTATCACACGTTCTCGATCATGTGGGGTCAAATTCTCATCTCCGATGTCCATCCCTGCTATCCTCTCTTCTGTTAGGCGTTGCGACTCCTTTCTCTTTCTTTCTTTGATTTCTTTCTCTATCTCTTCTTCCGATATCCCTTCCAGTGCAGATCGCTCGCAGCCCACCGCCGCTGGCTTAACTTTTTGAGCTACTCGCTTGTGTCGCTTGGGTAGCCCCCCATAGGAAGCCGTGCCCTTAAAATAGACCTGGATACCACACCGCCAAATTCCTCATCTTTTTCCTTTGGGTACGAGTTGCCATCCACTATTAGCCAACTCCCTAAATTTTCCACCTCCACGATCCGCCCTTCTTCCTCTGTGAGCAGTGGTCCATATTTCTTCTCGCGAAATCGCACCGCACGGCTGGAGATAGGTAACGACTTAATCTGATCACTGGGTCTCGCACCCACAGCGAGAGCTGCTCCGTTCCTCGGGTCCCGAGGCTCCACTATCTCAATCATTACCCGCGTCCCGTCTGGCTTCTCAATGGATAATGTTTGGCTCCCATCAGGTCGCTCTATCGTCACCGCATGCACGTGGCTCGGCCACGTTCGACCCAAGAGCAGGTCGGAGCTGCAGTTCTTGACTGCAAAGACAGGCAGGGTCACTCGTACCCCTTGGACCTCTATGGTTGCCTTGTGACAAACCCCAGTGATCTGTTGCTTTCTCCCATCAGCCGTCTCTATCTCGAATAGGTATGACCTATCGAGGCCCAGTCCAACCTGTACTGCCAGGTCCTCGTCTATGATGACAGCCTCACTGTCGTTATCGATCACAACATCGAGTACCGCTCCATCGTTTATAATCGTCTCCACAGCTCCGCTACCAAGTATATAAAACTTGTCTGGAGGCACACCTTCCATTCCATCGAGAAGGATTGTCGCCATGCGATCCGCTCTAGCAGTCACCCCCGTTACTGCTACTGTAGAAGCTTCCGCCTTAAGGGCCCCCTGACCCTCCTCCGATAGAGGTATGCGAGTCTTCCGCGTGATCATCTGTAACTCATCACGAGCCGGCTTTGATGCCGCCAGGTACTCCAGAATAGAGCACTGCATGGGTTGCCGAAGGGCCCG